TCCCAGATTAGAATATAAATTCCCAAGAGTTAGTCTTGCTCACCAGAGTCCTTGGCACCTAGGACAGTGTCTGGCACATAGTTGGTGCTCACTAAATACTTGTTAAATGAGTGATGGGACTTGGAGATGGACCATTCTGAAGGGAAATACAGCAGTGAGTGGGTTTGGGGGCACGGAGGGAACAGTGGACCACAATGGAGGTGGGAGGAGGTGGGAGGAGGGGAGGGAAAAATTGGGTGGGAGGTAGAGCTGGTGACCCAAAGCTTTGAATGCCAAGGTAAAGTACGAGTCCTAGGTCGGGTGGGGTGGCGGCTCACACCTGTAATCCCAGCACTTTGGGAGGCCGAGACGGGTGGATCACCTGAGGTCAGGAGTTTGAGACCTGCCTGGCCAACATTAGGAAACCCCGTCTCTATAAAAATACAAAAATTAGCTGGGCATGACGGTGGGAGCCCATAATCCCAGCTACTCAGGAGGCTGAGGTGGGAGAATAGCTTGAACCTGGGAGGCAGAGGTTGCAGTGAGCCAAGATCGCACCACTGCACTCTAGCCTGGGCAACACAGCGAGACTCCATCTTAAAAAACAAACAAAAAAAAGAACAAGTCCTAGAGCATGAGAGCTGGAAGGGACCCTAAGTGTCATGTACCCAACCCTTGCATGTACAGACAGGAAGACTATAACCAAGACAGGGGGCCTCGGCTTATCTGAGAGAGTTTTTACTGGAGGGCATCTTAGTGATGGGCTGCCCCTTAAGAGTTTCTCTGTCCCTGTCTCCTCAGGCTCCCATCAGAGTGCCCCCACTCCCTGAGAGGAGTTCCTCCCTCCTGGAAGAGTCTTTTGGAGGCCCCAATGACATCATCTATGCAGACCTGAGGAAGATGAACCAGGCACGGCTAGGCTTGGGCACAGAGGGGTCCAGCAGGCATGCACCAGTTCCAGCTGGCAGCCAGGCCTACTCCCCAGGCAGGGAGGCCCAAAGGAGACTCTCAGATGGAGAACAGAATAGGCCTCATGGCCTGGTGCCTGTCCTCTCTGCGGTGAGCCCAGACCAGGGTCCCACAGAGTCTCCCACTTCCTGGGGGTGTTCTAATGCCATGGGATCCCTGGGGGCTACCTGGAGGCAAGAGTTTCCAAAGCTGAGCCAAGAGGCTCAGCCCTGCTCCCAGGGCAGCTCTGCAGATATCTATGAGTTCATTGGGACACAAGGCCCCCTGCAAGAGGCCAGGGGCACACCAGACCAAGAAGGCAGTACCTATGAGCAGATCCCAGCTTGCTGGGGTGACCCAGCCAGGGCCCCACATCCTGGGGCCAGTCCCACATCTAGCCCATGGGTACATGGGTCCATGGACCATGGCTACAAGAGGATCTCAGGGCCCCCAGGGCTCCCAGAGCCTGGGAACACCTATGAGCAGATCCCAGCAACCAAGAGCAAGGAGACTGGACGGATGCACAAGGTGAGCTCCATGACGGGATGGGGCGGCTCCCAGCCCTTAGAGAGCACCTGGTGGTAGGAGACAACCTGTAGCCCCCAGGCATAGGCAGGTCAGGTCACCGCCACCAGAATTTTCCAGCCCTAACATCTGCCTGGAAATGGTGGTGGTGGTGGTGGTGGTGGTGGGAGAGGCAGCTGCTAGATTTGGATGTAAGACAGGGGCTTCCAGGCTCTTCTAATAGGGGCATTCTCTACAATAGATCAGCCTCTGCAGGGGTCTCAGAGCCTCTGGGTGCAGGAGAACAGCCCCTTTGCCCCTACTCCCTCGCCCTGTAGCTTTGGGCAAGACAAATTCCAGGACAACCAGTTAAACCTGAATTACAGATAAACAACATTTTTGAGGCCAGGCATGGTGGCTCATGTCTGTAATCCTAGCCCTTTGGGAGGCTGAGGCAGGTGGATTGCTTGAGCTTGGGAGTTTGAGACCAGCCTGGGCAACGTGGCAAAATCCCATCTCTACGAAAAAATACAAAAAATTGCCAGGCATGGTGGCCTGTAGTCTCAGCTACTTGGGGGGCAGAAGCAGGAGGATCGTTTGAAGCTGGGAGGTTAAAGTTGTGATGAGTCCAGATTGCGCCACTGCACTCCAGTCTGGGAGACAAAGTGAGACTCTGTTTAAAAAAACAAACAAAAAAACAAACCAAACCAAAACAAAAACCATTTCAAAGTATGTCTCAAATATCACAATTATTCCTTTGTTTATCTGAAATTTAAACTTAACTGGGCATCTACATTCTTGTTTAGCAACCCCACCCGGGACCTCCATTTCCTCATCTGTAAAATGGGCTGATCCTCTGCTTGTATCCAGGGGCAGGTGCCCAGAGGATAGTGCTAGACATCCTTTCCTGCTCAGGACACAGCCCAGAGAGGGCTCTTGATGAACACAGCTATTATTCTGAGGATCTCTGTGGTGGTGGTGGTGGTGGTGGTGGTGGGAGAGGCAGCTGCTAGATTTGGGTGTAAGCTGGGGGCTTCCAGGACCTTCTAAGGACTTTCTCTGCAGCAGACCAGGGGTCCTTTCCCCTCCCTCTTGGTTTCTACAGGGGTCTGCTAAGTAAGGAGGAGAGGGGACCAGGAGTGTGGAGAGCGGTGGCCAGGAGTGGGGCTGGTCCAGGGTTCTCAGGGAGGCAGATGAACTCTCTGGAGCCCTCAGTCCCAACTGCACTCTGCCTATACCCGGAGACAATAAAACCTGGGAGTCCCTTCCCCAGAGGCAAGTCCTCTGATCTCAGTCAGGCACACACAGATCTTCCAGCTGGATTCCTGGTGGAAAGATCTTCTCGGGAAGTGCTGACGGCTCCTCCCTCAGGACAGGGCTGTGCCCCCATACCCCATGGATAGAAGCCTTTGAGATCCTGACTCTCCGGGGACCACGGATCCAGCAGTGGACAGTCCTGAGACCCTCAGAAGCCACATCCCATGTCTGCTCTTTCCCTGTGGCTGCCCCATGTCCTCTCCCATCTCTGTGGGCCTGGGTACAGCCTCACCCCACCCTACCTTCGACACCAGTGCATCCTGAGGCCCCCAGCTGCGGGTCAGGGGAGACCAGGGCACTCCAGGGAGGTAAGGTGAGGCTCGCCACCCTTTCTACACTCCTCCTTCCCCTCCTGTCCTTCGCCAGAAGAGGGTGAACCCTGCATCCAAAATTGGAGAGCTAAAGGTGGGATTTCAGGCACCGGGAGAGGCTTGTAGAATCAACCACCAGAATTCAAACCTGGCCTCATGTCCTGGGCTTGGGCCCCCAACCCAAGGTCAATGAGGGGTCCTCAGAGCCTGGGTCTTTCCCTCCCTGTCCAGTGACCCCAGGCCCCAGTATCTCCTCCTTCCTTGCAGCCTGACAAGCTTCGGAGGCTCTTCTTCACGGACAGGAAGCACAAATTCTGAGGGCCTGGCATCTGGCAGCCCACCAGTGGGTTTCCTGGTACCCAGGCCATGCCAGGGGTTATCGCAAAGCCCTCAGCTCACTTGAAGGCACCCTTTGGATCTTCAGACTCATCCAGGCTACTACAGAACTAGGCTTCGAGACAGCCAAGGTGCCTGCCTGAGAGCAGGTGGAAGAGGACCTTCCAACCACCTGCAGCTCCTGGCTATGTCCTGCTTTCCTTGTGCCTCCCATCCATGCATAGGAGGGAATCAAGGCTGGAGAGGAGTGACACTGGCCAAAGGCAAGGGTCAGCACCCCCATTTCCCAGATGAGCATTCTGAGTCCCAGGCAGACTGACTGAACCTGCCTCCCACTACTGAGCACTTACCGAATGTGTGACAGGCTGTGTGCTAGGACAGACACCTTTCTAACTGGCCAAGTGACATCATGCAATTGCTATTGAGAAAACCAATTCCCCTCCTTGTGGCCCCATCAGCAAAAAGGAGGGGAGGGCCAGAAGCCACATCCTCTGCTTCAGGCCTCTTCACTCCAGCTGTGCCCTCAGGTCAGGCTGGCTCTTCCTGGAGCTCTGTCCCTCAGGAAACTTCCTGTTTGTGTGTCACTTCCCTTCCTATCCACATTTCCCATTCTCTATCAGGGTGGACAGCTGGCTTGCTGCCCTGCTCCCCACTACCCCAAGCCCGGGATGCAGAAAACAGGACTGATCATCTCCAGCGACAACACCATAGGTACCCCTCCTCCCTGCCCTGACCCTGGGCAGAGCTGGCTCAGGTCGCATTTGTGGGAAATCTACCCTAGTGACCACTTGGCTATGCAGCTTTTCCTGAAATATAGGCCTGTAAGAGTCCCTCCCTCCTTGGGGGTTGTAAGGATTGAGACTGAAGCAACTGTCCCTGTGCCTGAGTGGTTAGCACTCCTGAATGTTAACCGGAGATACTGTCAGGGAATTTACAGAAGGTTTGGGGCATGGATGTGTCTTCTTCCCGACGGCACACGCACTGAAATCAAAGCTAGTGCCTAAAGCAGGAGGCACTGCCTGATGCTGAGAGGTGAGACGCCAATGGTGGGATTTCAAGGATCAGAAGCAAAGGTGCCCTCAAACATTTCCTAACATTAGCAGACATGGAGAGCACAGGGATGCAAAAGTGTTTTACTACCAGGAGTTCACACATCTGTGGACAGCACATACCAGTGAGGATTCCATGGTGTTGGGGAGGGCAGGCAGGGTAGTACTCATGACCCAGAGGCAGAGACAGGGGCAAGAGCCCTTCGGCCCACTGTGCCCACAGCTTCACATTGTGAAGGAGGCCAGGAGAAGAGGAACAGGCAGGGGTGAGGAGCAGCCCAACCTTGGGTTTTGGAAAAAGATTGCATAGCTCGTTAAAACCCTGACCTCTTTTTTTTTTTTTTTTTTTTCCATTCTGTCCTGGGTGACCAGTGTGTCTGCCAGCACTTGGACATGTCAGACCCCACCACCTCCTGTTGGGTTATCTGCCTTTCCCTTTGGGGGGTGGGGAGCATTTCTGGAGTGGGAGAGGACTGGGGCATGGGGCGGGGTGCAGAGGGCCTGGAGAGGGGCCACGGGTCCTCGGGCTGGACCACAGAGGGGCTGTGGGAAGGGTCCTAACCCTCACATGCCCCCTTCCTGGTTAAGGCTGTTTTTTGCTGAAAGGGCCACAGGAAATATTCGTGGTGTGAACCCCAGAGGCTGCCACTGCTTTCCTGGGGAGCTTGGAGGCCATACCCATGTGACCGCAGGGCAGGACGGTGGACTTCCAGGCCCCTGCAGCCTCGGCAGTGTCCTCAGATCCGGATGTGGAAAGTGCTGGAAAGAGAGAAAGGGCAAGAGAGGGTGAGAGGCCCTGGGTTGGGCAGGTAAAGGCTCCTCAGGGAAAAGCACAGCAGGCCCCAGGCCCACGCTGGACAGCACCTCAATAGGGAACCCTGCATAGTGGATGCAAGTAATCAACACTGAGGGAAGGCAGGCTTGGAGGGACAGCGGTGCCCAGGGAGTTCTGCCCCCAGTTATCACTGAAGGGGCCCCCAGGTCTTCCACCATCCCCCTTGCAGGGGACAAAGGCCAGTCACACGTCTAGGGCAAGGGTGCCTTGAACGTGACCTCCTGCTTCCTGGTCACACACCACTGCTCACAAACAGCGAGTGACAGGGGCTTAGCCCCAACATCCCAGCCTGCCCTGCCCTGCCCTGCCCAAGCCCGGCCCCTGTAGTGGCAGCACCTGAGGAAGTCAGGGGCCTTGGCAATCATGTCCTCGAAGTCAGCAAAGCCCAGCTTGCCATCACCATCCAGGTCAGCCTCCTCAATGACCTTGTCGCACACAAGCACCACCTCCTCCTCATCCAGCTCTGACTTAGTGAGCCGGGCCAGCGTCAGCTCCAGGTCTTCTTTGCAGATGAAGTTGTCAGTGTTGAAGTCTGTGGGGTGGGGGTTGGACATGTTCAAGTCCGGGTTGCGTGCACCCAGGGACCCCTACACTCCCAGCTGGTCCCACTACCTCCACCAGCTTCTGATGTCCCCAGAGCATCTCCATGCACACTCTCGGGACACTGGATCCCAGCCCCCAAGAGGGCTCACCCACCAGGCATAGCTTAGACACCCACATCCACCACCCACAACAACCCCACAATGACTAAACCACATCCTGAAACAAGTCAAAAGTCCAAATCTGAGGTTTCCTGAGAACTTCAGGCTTAGGCCAGATAGCCCTTCCTGGCCTTAGCCCACAGTGGACCCTGTGTTCCCTTTAGACTTCTAGAGCTAAGGAAACTAAGGCCCAAAAAGGCCATGTGATTTAATCAAGGTGGGAGAGCCACTCGGAGATGGAGCAGGGATTCTGATTGGGGCCTATGTGACTCTAAGATCCAAGTTTTCTAAACTGCACCATGTTGCTTCAGTGGTGTGTGGCCAGGAGACACAATGGGTCAGGAGACTCAAAATCAAAAGGCCCTTAGAGAGGGGCCTGTGCCTGGCATTAGTGCACACAGAACAGGGAACATGGTTTGATTCTACCCAAAAAAAGGCACTATTACTGCCCCAAAGGATAGCAAAATGGTTCAGAGGACCAAGCCATGCGTGGCTGCATCAAAGCAAATTCTCTCTCCTTACATTTTCAGCCCAACTACCAGATCTGCACATGTGCTGTTTCTTCTGCCTGGGGTCCCTTCCCAGCAAACTCCTGGTCATCCTTCAAATTTTGGCTCACACATCACCTCCCAGTGGCAGGGCTTTCTAGCAACAAGGGTCCTCTCCCCCGCAGATGAGCTTCTCGTGCCCACTGGCAAACTCTGACATTAATGTTAGTGGCAAAGACCCATCATGTGGGCATTACATGCTCTTTCTCATTTAATTTTCAAAACAAGACTATGAGGCAGGCACAATTGAATCCCCACTATACACATGAAGAAACAGAGAGGTGGCCAGGTACGGTGGCTCATGCCTGTAATCCCAGCACTTTGGGAAGCTGAGGCGGGTGGATCATGAGGCCAAGAGATCGAGACCGTCCTGGCATACATGGTGAAACCCCATCTCTGCTAAAAATACAGAAAAAAAAAAAAAAAAAAAGCTGAGCCTGGCAGCAGACGCTTGTAATCCCAGCTACTCAGGAGGCTGAGGCAGGAGAATGGCATGAACCTCGGAGGCAGAGCTTGCAGTGAGCCAAGATAGCGCCACTGCACTCCAGCCTGGGTGACAGAGCAAGACTCTGTCTCAAAAAAAAAACCAAAACAACAGAGGTGAAAAGGAGAGGTACCTGCTTGAGGTCACATCCCTGGTCATTGTTGGACCCTGGAGCCCAACAATGACTTGGGGGTGACTCTGCCCTATCTCTGCAGAGGCCTGGGCACAACTCTAGGGTAGACATCAGGGGAGATTCATCGTGCCCTTGGCATGGGACATAGCAAATCTCTGGAAAGATTTGCTGGCTGGCTGGCTGGCTCAATTGCTGTGGCCATTTAACATGAGTAAACTGAGGCTCAGAAGTAAGATGATCCTTGTTGCAAATGAGGCCCCAGGCCTCCCCAGCACCAGACTAGGAGGGCCCTGGCTGCCTCTCCCCACTCCACCCCCAGCCTAGGGCAGCAAGGAAGCCACAGTTCTTCCATGTGTTCCTGTGCCCACCCGGTCCATGCGATCTGCACTCCCCTGTCTTGGGCAGACAGCAGCCCATCCCAGGAGCAATGCTGTGGGGTCCAAGACTGGGCAGATGTTGGGTGGAATCTGAGAAACATTTTACATGACCCATGTGGGCATAGTTCGTGGAGGGTAGACTGGCAGGTATTTTCTTTCTGATATGCAAGCAAAACGTGGGTGCACAGACAGAAACCAAAGTCCTCTGAAATAAACATAACTAGAACGTGAAACATAACTAGAATGTGAAACATCAGTCCGGGCGCGGTGGCTCATGCCTGTAATCCCAGCACTTTGGGAGGCCGAGGCAGGCAGATCACCTGAGGTCGGGAGTTCGAGACCAGCCTGACCAACATGGTGAAACCCCATCTCTACTAAAAATACAAAAATTAGCCAGGTATAGTGGCAGAACCTGTAATCTTAGCTACTCGGGAGGCTGAGGCAGGGGAATCGCTTGAACCCAGGAGGTGGAGGTTGCAGTGAGCCAAGATCACGCCATTGCATTCCAGCCTGAGCGACAGAGTAAGACTCCGTCTCAAAAAAAATTAAAAATAAATAAATAAATAAATAGAAAAAAAGAAAGTGAAATGTCAGCCCCTGATAGACCCTGCTGCCTTGGGATCCAGTGTCTGATCAAAGGTGCTGAGGACAGGAGGTTTGACCTTGACTCTTCAGGTCCAGGTTGGGTCCCAGCCCTTTCCTGGGCCTTAGCCATCTCAACTGAGGTCTGTCTGAGGATTTGACACCAGTCCCCATGGGTCTGTCAGGCCAGCACAGGGGATGAGCTCGTGGGTATGAAGTTTTCTCCCTATGGCTGTGGGAGAAGCGTGAGTCCCTGGCTCATGAGTGCCTGCTGCCCTCTGATGGCTGGTGAGACAGCAGGCCCGAGGGCAGGGCTGGGTGGGGTGAACCCAGGCGGCCCTACCTCTGGCAGTGTTGGGGGGCTCCGGAGGCCCCCCTGCAGGCCTGGCCTCACCACCATGGCCTAGGCAGCCTCTCTAGCTCCTCCATTTTACACCTCAAAGCTGCTGAGTGATCTTTCCAGAAAACAGAGCTGCCCTTCCCCACTGGAAACCTTGCAGGGGCCCTGGTGTCCAGAGCACTAGGTCCAAATTCTGTGGCTGGCCCCAAATTCTCTTCAGACTCATACCCCCGTCCCACCACCTTTCAAGTTCCTCCCATCTCCTTACCAAGCTCTGCGCTTCCCTGGGTCTGCATGGGTTGCGCCCTCTGTCAGGTCTGCCAGTCCCCACTTCTCTAGTCCAAGCCTCTGCTAGTCCCTGCTTAAAGGTCATGCCTGGGACCCCTCTCACACTAACCACCCGACCTGGGGTTGGCGAGTCCCTCCCTCCTCTGTTCTCAGGAACCCCACAGATGTCTCTCAGGGACTGATCGTCTCCCCTGGCCACCCCACTGGATAGGCACTCTTCAGAGGACAGATCAGCTTCACTGTTCTTGGTGTCCCCAGGGCAGGAGCCAGCAGTAACCAGACAGCCTGAGGGCCCCACATGCTGCCCACCTCACATTCACGGCCCCCTCCTCTAGCCCTCATTACCATAGATCTTGAAGGCATAGTTTGCCTTGAGCTCTCGGGGAGCCGACTCGCAGAGCACGGAAAACATGTCCACAAAGTCGTTGAAGGTGAGGTTCCCCTCACCATCCTCGGAAAACGCCGCCACGATCCTTTCTTTGAAGGGATTCTCCTGAAGGAAACACACACAGCAATCACTGTGGGTGCAGGATAATCAGGAGGGCCCTGGAGCCAGACTGTGGACAGCCTGTGTGACCCTGGAGGAGTGACCAAATCCCTCTGAGCCTCGGTTTCCCCATCTGTAAAAAGGGAATAATAACACCTTCTTAATTGGGTTGTGATGGGATTAAATGAGCTAAAGTATGTAAGGTGTTGGTACCAGGCCCAGCACGTGTAAGAGCTCAGGAAGCATTCTGTTGGGTCATGTCACATCATTAAGATGGGCACAGCCAGGGACAGTGGCACATGCCTGTAGTCCCGGCTGTTTGGGAGACTGAGGTGGGGGAATCACTTGAGCCCAGGAATTTGAGGCTTCAGTGAGCCATGATCGTCCCACTGCACTCCAGCCTGGGCAACAGAGCAAAACTCTGTCTCCAAAAAAAAAAAAAAAAAAAAAGCTGACCACAGCCAATGTGTTCTCACTGGAGGCACCGCCTCACCTGAAGCAGAAGCACAGATTCGTCCTGTTACCCAGAAGAGCACACAGAGGCTCTGCCTGGATGTGTAGGGTTCTGTCCCCAGCAGAAAAAGATGACAACCCAGGGCACTGGTGGCCCTCAGCTCAGGCCATGTCAGGCCAGGATCGTGGAAGGTAGATGTAGGGTCAGATAACTGGACCAGATAAGCAGCAAGAGTCATACAGCCAGTTCAGGCCCAGGCCTGCCATCACTCTGCTCCTGTGAATTCTCTTAGACTACCTTGGATGCCACCTCTCCCAGGGAGCTGTACATGGATGCCTTCCTAGATCCCCAAATCACTTATCCTACAGCCCTTCCATCCCAACTGGGCTAGCACTTGGCTAGCCCCATTCCGTGCCCAGCCCAGGCCAGCGCAGGAGGCTCAGAGACAGACCACTTCGGTCCCACCCAAGAGTGTCTCACCCGCTCCAGCAACCCTCTGAACCTGCTCTTGAGCCCCTTGCTGGGCCAGACAGGGTGTCGGTCCAGGGCTGAACCTGGGGTCCATTGTCTCTCAGGACTGAGGTCACAACCAGAGTGTAGGCCCCAAGTGGATGCCATATAGCACTCTGACCCCACCATCAAGCCACACATCCCAGGCCTGGCCAGGGGCTACTGACGAAGTACCACTGCAATGGGGAGTTATGCCCCAAATGCCTTCTTAACGCTGAGTGCACTTTACATATTATGGATAAGGAACTCATGAAACGAAACATTCAAATATATATGGTCTGAGGACCAGCAGCATCAGTCTCACCTGGGAGCTTGCTCGAAAAGCAGAATCCTGACACTCCACGTGTACTGAGCCTGAATTGGCATTTGGACAAGATCCCCGGGTGGTTTAAAATTAAATTTTAACAGGTACATTAAAGTCTGAGAAATCATGTTATGGATGACCACGATGCTGACCTCAGTGAGAAGCCACGGTCAGACAAGGGGGAGACAGAAAAATTATCTAACAAAGCAGACGCAGGTCTGCCAAGTACAGCAGGCTTGGGGCCACTTAACAAAGGGACAAGCAGATGAGCACAAGCCTATGGCCTGCAGTGGGGTGGCCACTGATGTACAGCACCCTTACAGAGCCCACATAGCTTATTTATTCAGAGTGCAGATGAGGAAACTGAGGCACAGAGAGGTTCTGTGATCTGCTCAGAGCCACACAGACACAAAGGGTGGAGCTGGGTTTAGCCCAGACCTAGGGGCCTCTGCTGCTGGTCCAGAGGCACAGATCCCCTGCCCACCAGCAAGAGGCCCTGCACGTACCCGGAGCTCTGGCATCTGGATGATGAGGCTCATGGGCACGTGGACGATGGGGCTCTTCCTGTAGTCCATTGGGACGAGGTTGGGGGCCAGCTCGTAGAATCGTGAATGCAGCCTTGGAGGAAAGCAGAGGAAAAGTGCTGGAGGGGGTGCCATCCCTAAGTCCCAGCGGCCCAATGCTGCCCTGCCTAGGCCTGTGCCTCTGCAGATCATCCTCAGCCAGGACCAGGTGAGGGGCCAATGGGAGGCTCTCTGCTCTGCCCACAGGGTATGAAGTTGGGAGGGAGGTGAGTTCTGCCCAGACCTCTGTGCTGATAACCAGATTGTGTCCAGGCCACCCTATTTCCACCACACCCACCCCATCAGCACCACCACCATCACTCCTTGGGCCTGCATCCAAGTCTTCTAATTTTTTCTCCTTTGGCCTCTCATAAGGGTTTTCTATGCTCGGGATACTGTGCTAAGCAATGAACACACCACCTAATTTAATCCTCCTTCACATCACTGTGCAGAGAGATGCATCCTGACCCGTTTACTGCTCAGCAAACTGAGGGCTGAAGAGGTTAAGAGCGATTGTCTAAGGCCACATAACTAGGGAGCATCAAGGGCCATGGGTTGAGCCCAAGATGGTAAATCCAAGCAGAAACTCTTAGCCACTCTTCCTCCGGATACTCCTGGGGATCCATCAAAGCTTGGGCCCACTTCATGGCCCCATCACCCCAACTTAGGCCCTGAGGGTTGGGTCTCTCTGGGAGAGCTCTCAGCAGTCCTCACACCCTCAGGAAGCCCCTGTGAATGGGCCACTCATAACCTCTCTAGCTGGGGGCCATCGAGACCCAGCCCGCTACCCTGGTGGGCCTGGCCCTCCCTACTCACTGATGGGTCAGGTCCCTAGTTCCTGTTCCAGCCTCCAGGAAAACAAGCTGCATGGACCCTCAAAGGTGTAAGGCATCCTGGCACTGTCTCACTTGGAAGCTCCCTTCCTCCCCGCCCCCTGCCCCATCATTCAGTCTTTCTTTGCCCTATGTCACTTGTCCAGGTCCCTGTCATCCCAGAGAATAGCCCCCCATCCCAAGACAGGTATAAATTGTATTCAGATGAAATTGTGAGCTGGGTGTGGTGGCCTGTGCCTGTAATCCCAGTGTTTTGGGAGGCTAAGGTGGGAGGACCACTTGAGGCCCAGAGTTTGAGACCAGCCTAGGCAACATAGCCTGTCTCTACAAAAATGAAAAAAAAATTAGCTGGATATTGTGGCTCAGTCCTAGCTACTTGGGAGGCTGAGGCTGGAGGATCACTTGAGCTTGAGCCCAGGAGTTGGAGGCTGCAGTGAGCTATGATTGCCCCACTGTATTCCAGCCTGGGCAACAGAGTGAGACCCTATCTCTAAAAACAAAAATCGTGTCCATTAAGTGCTGCCATGGGTGGGACAAGCGTAAGGGGCATTGACTGGGGGCTGAGGTAGGTAACCTGCCTAAGGTGAAGCCCTAGGCTGCTGGCGAATGGATTAGGTATGATCCTGTGTCTCCCGGGCTTGGGCTGGCCCTGCCACCCCCAAAGCCAGATCAGCCCAGGTCTCCTTTGAAGTGGCTTGACCCTGTGACACACCCCAGGCCCACCTTTCAGCACATTCAGCGCAGCACTGAGTTCAAGAAGAGTTATACATTAGTCCTACCATAACATTAGGACCAGAAACCATACTTATGCTACTTGAACTGCTCCAGAGTATGAGGCAAGAAATGTGAAAGCCCTCACTTTATTTTACAAGCCATTCAGCACAGACACCCAACCTTCCCTTGGGTTCTACCAATTCTTGTGGTGCTGCTGCCTAGCTGTCCTTAGCAAGGCACCTGACTACTTACCCAGCTCAAACAGATAATAACACCAGCTATTGTTTAGCAAGTGCTTACTCTGTGCCAGGTCCTGAACTAATCTCTGTGCATTGCTTTACTCATTTTAATCCCCACATCACCCTGAGAGGTAGCTATTAGTCTCCCATTTTCAGGTGGTGAAAACTGAGGCTCAAGAATCAAGTGTCTGCTGCATCCTACACAGCCAATGAACAGTAGGAACAGGATTTGAACCCAGGACCTCTGGACTCCAACCACTTGGCTTCTCCCTGCAAGTCAAGCCCTGGTAAGCACATCATCCCCTGGTTCAGAGCCTGTCCAGGGCAAATAAACGATAAAATGCCACATGCCCACTTTGCCAGTCACACATCCCTATAAAAGGGCCTGAAATCGCAAGGATGTGCCAAGACTTGGAGACAGAGCTGGAGGGGAAAACCCCTAAACTTGTACTTTGGGTGGGAGGAGGCTCAGCAAATGCCAGGGTGGTGGGATCAAGCTGAGACTCTCCACAAGAGGGCACTCAAGGACTTTCTTTGCTCCTATTTCTTGTGTAGAGGAAAATTTTTTTTTACACTGTCCCCAAATAAGGAATAACCACTTGTTTCAAAATTCATGCATCTTCTTTCATAATTCATGCCTCTGGTACTTTGACATATCCATTGTGCTTCCAACTGTTACATTTCCCACTTGACCTTCACCCTACCCCATGTGTCGGGGTATGATATTGGAGTGTTTCTGGGGGTTGGCCTACACCTCCGAAGTTTTGTGGGATGGCTGCAGCAGGAGCATGAAGTCAGGCTGAGGTTGGAGCCCTGCCTACACCTCTCACTAGCAGTGAGAGTAAGTGGGTTAATCCACTGGAGGATAAGTTCCCTATCAGTAAAGCAGGGGCTGTTCTACTGTTCTCACCCCTGGATGTTTGTAAAACCACTGGCCTTCAACTGGCAATTTTTAGCATACTGCCTGCCATGTCAGAGACTCCCTGGAAGGGGTGGACTAGGGAGAGAGGCAATGGGTGCTTGGCGGGGTTGAGGAGGTATCTTCTGGGGTGGAAAGGCCAGCTGGGACACAGATCTGTTCTAAAACAATAACTAAAATCACATTGGAATTTTTCTTTAAAGAAAAATCCAAGGAGAATTTGAAAACCCAAATCACTGTGAAAGAAAGTCTAAGCATTGTCAAAGAACCACATCTCTGTCACCTCTCCCCCAGTAAAGGACACTGAGTTCAAGAAAAGTTATATATTCGTCCTACCGTAACATCAGGACCAGAAACCATACTTATGCTACTTGAACTGCTCCAGAGTATGAGGCAAGAAATGTGAAAGCCCTCACTTTATTTTACAAAGTTAACAAGAACGCTGATACAAGAACCTAATATGTAGCATCCAGAATGGACCAACGGTACTTCATATATAGATGAAAATGTCTTATAAAATAACATACTAGGGGCCAGGCACAGTGGCTCATGACTGTAATCTAAATGTGCTTTGGGAGGCCAAGGTGAGAGAATTGCATGAAGCCAGGAGCTTGAGACCAGCCTGGGCAATGTAGTGAGATTGTGTCTCTACAAAAAAAAATAATAATAAAAATTAGGTGGATGTGGTGATATGCATCAGCAGTCCTAGGTACTCAGGAGGCTCAAGGAGGAGGATCTCCAGCCTGGGCAACAGAGACCCTGTATCTACAAAAAATAATAATAATAAGTAAAGAAAGAAAAATAACATACTGGTAAATCAAGTCCAAGACTTTAAAAGAATAGTATGTTAGAACCAAGTAGGATTTCTTCCAGAATGCAAAGATAGTTCAATATTTGGAAATCTGTGACTACAAATCATATTAAGCAAAAAACATTTTGACCAATTTGATAGATGCATTTATGACTGTATGTGTGGATACAGAAAAATATCTGAGAAGTTATATACTACATGTTTACACTGATAGTCCCTGTGAGGTGGGAGTAGAGAGTTGTGAAAAGAAGGAGGCTAACTTTTACTTGTTATTTCACCTACTTCTCAATTATTTGAAATTTAAGAAGTATTTATTAATAAAAATTAAAAATATTTTTGTTTTTTTGAGACAGAGTCTCACTCTGTCGCCCAGGCTGGAGTGCAGTGGCACAATCTTGGCTCACTGCAACCTCTGCCTCTTGGGTTGAAGTGATTCTTGTGCCTCGACCTCCCAAGTAGTTGGGATTACAGAGGCATGCGACCATACCCGGCTGATTTTTTTATATTTTTAGTAGAGATGGGGTTTCGTCATGCTGGCCAGGCTGGTCTCGAACTCCTTACCTTAAGTGATCTGCCGCATCGCCCTCTCAAAGCGCTGAGATTACAAGCATGAGCCACTGCACCTGGTCAAAAGTATTTTAAAGTATATGATATTTTGTCAA